CGCGATGCTGGAGGCGCGCGGCAAGCTGAAAAGCCGGCAGGGAGCGGGGCGAACCGCGCCCGCGCCGCCTCCGCCCCGCGCGGCCCGGGCTCGGCGCGCACGGGGAGCCCCACATCGCCCCCCGCTCGCCGCCCTGCTGGGCTCCGGCCACGAGGGGTAGCCCAGTGTTAAAACACCATCCTCAGGCTGCACAGAGATGTTTCCTTCCTACCTCAGCTCGTTTGGTCTGTGAAATTAGCCAACTGCAAGTATTTTTTTTTAAAAAAAGTTCCCATTAATGGGAATTTGAGGGTGTTGGAACTASGGGTGAGGAACTTGGAGATGCGACCGGGACACTGCAAAACCACAAGTTTCCCATGCTCCCTGCATGACAGAACTTCACCTCCTCCAAAAAGACAACTTGAGATGAAGTATTAAATGGGGACATCTAGGGGAAATACTTAATGGTGCAGCCGTGCTCCACAGTTTCTCTGCTTTAATGCATTTAGAGTTTATGGCTGTCCAGGCAAGCCCCACCAACAGAAACATAATTCACAGTAACACGTGTGTTTTGCCTGAATATGCTCCCCTCAACCCAATTAACCAGCCCAGGAGCTGGCTGCGGAGCAGAGACCAGGGAGGTGTCTTTTCACACTCCATCCTGATGTGTAATGTTGGCAAGACACAGCACAGGCTCTCAGGCAGAGCACATCTGGGCTGCTGATCTCTCCCTCCTTCCCTGATCTATTATATCAGGGAACACAGGGGCTGATCATCACCTTTCACCACCTTTGCTGTTAGGAACAACTGGATTTATACTGGTACAATCAGCCCTTGCATTTCTTGCAAAAAGATCTTGCAAACATCTCAGTTGCATTGAGAGTTTCCCCATACCAATGCTTGAAATACCATTTAAATAAGCTGCAGCTCCTGGAAATTTGTGGTTCTATGAGAATTTAAAGTGCGTTTTTTWAAGTAAACATAGGGCCTCCTCTTTCTTCCCTTCTTACCAGTTGTAGGAAGAACAAGATGGAAACGCAATCCAAGAATATCCTTGAAACAGAAAAAAAAGCTGAAAACATTTGAGCAATTTTTCCACCTAACTTCATGGATTTTGGATCTCAAATGATATGAGGCAATGGTAATWCCAGAGTACAAACAGACTCAGAGCAATTACTTTCAAAATTTCATACCTTTTCATGCTTTTCCTGGCATTTCCCACCTCAGGCTTCCCTGAATAACTGTTTTCAGAGCATGCAATCCTTCCTGGGGAAGGTTTTTCCAAAGGTTCAACTCAACCTCCTAAATAGCTATATGTGATCATTGCTCCTTGTTATCTGGCAATCTGGAAAAGGATTGRCTCTATCAGCCTGGTAATTGCCCTTATATTAGGTGTGGGCATGTATTGGGAATATCTGTCCCTGCCAGGTGTTGTAAAGATCCACAAATCAGGATAAACCCAACCTTGCAGTGCAGGCAATGCCTATGGCATGGTAGGCAATAGCCTATCTAAGGCAGGTCCATCAGCTCAGACAGGTGATTTCTCTTAACACAAATTTGGCCAAATTGAAGTTATCCCTCCAGAAGTTTTTGAGCAACTTTATTTCAGCTGAGCATTTTCAGTCTAGTGCTTAGTAGCYTCTAACCAGATTTGCCATCTCCTGGCTGCATAACCAAGAGGAATCAGACACATTTAAATCCTTTCTCCCAACCCATTTCTCACAGAAAGCTTGCAAACACCAAATCCTCTCAGCAAACGGGTTAATCCATCTCATCTGCCCATGGATGAGAGCTTAGTTTTTTTTTTTTTTTCCAAATGCGAATGAATACAAGAAAGAGTGGAATACAMAATTCTCTTGTTATTATTGTTGTTATTATTGCTGGTGCAGTTGTAGAGGTCAGGAATAGAGAACACTTTCTCTGGTTATTGCTGTGCTGGATTCGATTGGAATCCGGTGAAAAACACCTTAAATTTGATCAGAGGGGGTCAGCTTCCTGGCAGCTAATTTGAACAAAAAATTGGGTTTTTAAAAGCAGCCATCTCTGGGCTACAGCACAGAGATGTGTTGCACCTGAAACTGGAAGATGCTGGAAATTTAAAAAGTTAAAGCCATGGCCAAGAGGGAAAACAAAACACCACACTAGCTGCTGTGTAGGGCTGCTTCAGCACAGACCAAAACCTTTGGGAAAACACTTGTTTAAGCCTGAAAGGCTTTCATTAGAGTCATCTACTTCAGTAACTTTCTAAAGTAAATCCTTAAATCTGTGTTTTCTTGAACATTTTAAATTAGATGTAATGCTCTTAAGGGCATTTGCAAAAAGAAAAATTTCTGTCACTTGATTTTGATACATATTATCCTTGAATGCCCAATGGTAGAGGAGAGTTTGCCTCCACATCTGAAGGAAATTCTTGAAAAAAGTGGGGAAAAGCTGAAAGAAGCATTGGAGGAGAGAGAAGAACCTATTCCAGTTCCAGGTTAGAATTCCCCACTGTGATGTGCCAGGGCCTTGGTGCTGGTTCTGTTTAGGTGACTTCCCACGGTTACCCAAGATGAAGCTAAAACCTGGGTGTTTTCTGCAGTATTTGTATTTGGATGAAACATATTGCTTACTGTCAGTAAGAAATGCTAAGGCGCTCACAGACTATTTCCAGCTCCTGGATGTGCATAAGAAGAACGCTCTGAACAGTGAGTACTTTTCAAAATGAGACCGCGAGAGCATTATGAAATTACAGGCCCTGTGTAATGTTTTGAAAGGAGATGCACAGAGCGCTACCTCCCTTGGAATTTAAAACCTGAGATCCCAGACATTATAAATATTGTGCTTCAGATATTACATCAAATGCAGCGCCCCGCAATGCTAATTAACTAGTGGCTTAGTTAATGCCACCGCTTGGCAATGCCCCCAAAACCTTTCCATTACAGCATATATCATCACGGCCCGACTGGCCTATCATGCTCCAAAAGGTTACATAGCCTGGATAATTCTGCATCAGCTTCTGAAATGGTATGTATAGCTTCAGAGCCACTGAAGCATATTTTCAACTCCCATTAATGATATCCCTTTCCCCTGCACCCCTCAAATGCTCTATGACAAAGAAAAAGGCCCGAGACTGCTAGAAACCAGCTTGGCTTTGCAGTCCTCTCACCCTCTGCATTTCAGCAGCGTGTAAAGCCACCCAGACAGGCTTGCTAGTACTGCACGTGATAACCAAGTCCTGGCTCCAAGGAGCACAGAATCCACATACAAAAGCCCCAGGCCRGAGCTAAAGGAGATTTTTACAGCCATGCAAGCGAGATGCTGGGAGCACAGGACAGGGCTGGCTGACGCAGCCAATTCCTCAGCACTGCAGCAACCTCTCCATGTAATCCCTTTYGCAAACCGGTTGTGCTCCACATTAAAAAGCAGGTTCCCTGCCAACGTTATTCTTGTCAGGAGACCGTTAGAGAGCCCTGCTTCACAGCTTCCTAACTTCCCAACCACGCTTAGGGAGGCTATTCCCATTCATTTGCAAACCAGCATCTCTCTCCGGCTTAAATAAATCTTATTATGGATTCTTTGTAGAAATCACATACGTCCCTTTCATAAATGAGGGCAACTTATTAACACTACCCATTCTGAACAGCTTTTTGTGCACTACACTGCTTTAATTGCCTGTGCAACCTCTCTGGGAGCAGCGGGCATTTAAAATAAGGCAAATCCTGTTAATTCTTGCCAACGACTTTGTCCAGACAGGGCCAAACAGATCCCTGTTTTCCAGATCTGCAGTTTTACTGCTTTCTCCATTATGTGACCGACCTGAAGAAGCAGCACATCATGCTGCTCTTTGACTTGCTGGACCGGAACGCGGAGGGGAGCATTGGCTTCGATGAGTTCTACCTGGTGGTGTGTCTCCTGCTGGCACACGAGGTGCGTAGCCCCCGCGAGCCGCCCCGGGTGCCACAGACCATTGACATTCCCCTAAAGTGCAGGGGGAGCTAGTCCTTACCCATGGCAAGGGACAGGAGGGACCCTGGGGGCTGGACGTAGCCACAACACTGCTACATGCAAAAGGAAAGCAAYGGAGTGAGCTGTGTCCCTCTTATACCAATCCCACCCAAAAACCTTTTGCCACCTGGGAACCATCTAGCTGCTCCTGCCAGTTCTGACCACCCTTTTGGGGAGTTCTCCAAAAGAGAACTTCTTGGCTGGGGCTACCTGAAGGGAAGATCTGTTTCCCAGATTGTTGGTGTATGGATCCCCTTCCCCTTGACATCTCCATATCTAGCCTGTGCATAGACTAGTAACTTTTCAGTAAAAAAACAGTGAGGATAGCAGGCCTTTTTGAGAGAGAGGGATGGTAAAACCTGGTTTATCATCCTTCCTCCCACTCCCTCATCAGACACATCAGGTCCCCGTTGTGCAGGCAGGTGGGACAGCAGCACATGGATGCTGTGGCCGTTGAGGAGCACCACGCAGCGGTGTCAGCTCCATGAGGCTGGTTAGGCAGCTGTGCTGAGGGTGAGGACACGGGGCAGCTGCCCACAGGCCCTGGGGCACGGAAAGARGAAACCACACTAGCCACAGCACCTAGCCATTAAAGTCATGCAAAATGTGGCAGGGAGGAGAAAGCGCCTCGCAGCGTGTCCTGTGCACAGACCAGACACAAGCCTGGCTCCGTTTCAGGAACTCTTCCCACCACAGCTCACAGCTCTTGGGGGACCAGACCCGGGGTGCAAGAGCCTCGTCCTTCCACACGGCCGAGCGCACGGAGCAGGAAGCACCAGGATCTTGGTATTTCCTGCAGGCCTCACTAGCAAGAGGCCACTTTTATTCTCT